ATGGAAAAAATCTGGTTATGCGTTGTGCATGTCGCAAATGAAATTAATCTCTAAGACATTAAAAGAACAGTAAGGAACTAATGCAAACATAATTTTAAAAGGCTTTTGAAATGTTTTTAAAACGTAGCGAAACATTTTAACAAAAAAAATACATATTAAAGAATTAAAAAAAAAACGATCTAGGAAATTGTGCGTCGTCGTTGCAACAGCGTTTCGTACTTACCGAGTGTATAAATAATGTATGGAATTTTTATTCTTGAGCTGATTACTTCCTGGTGGTTTCCTCATCTCGGCAATACTTATGGATACAAATCTAATTCGATTTGTCGATTCATAATTCTAATTTACTGCTCGATTAATTAACCATGCAATTTTCTATTAACGTCATTAATGATTATTTTAATAATCATAATAGAATAAAGTGTATTAATAAATTACTATAAATTTTCATTTGACGTTTTGACATTAACAGTGACAGCTAATGAAAAAAAATATACATTTTAAAAACGTTGACACAGTTGATATGTGATTGAAGTTTAGTTGTAATTTTCTCATTTCAGCAATACAAAAATAATTCGATTTGTCTAACTTTCCGTTCGATTAACATTATTAATGATTTGTCTTTAAAAGATACAATAAAGTATATAATTTCTTTCCTATCAATTTGACATTTTGACATTAACAACACAATAACAAAAAAACATCGCTTGCTAAGAAATTTGTGGTATTTCCTATTTTTTTTGTAATGATCTCTAAAATTTGATTATTCAAATATTCAATTATTTTACAATTTTTTGTAATTTCTCAACAATGCTTGACTAATATGTATTTAATTTTATGTAATAATTAGATTAGAAGATGTTTTCTATTGCGCATCTTCTGATATAACTTCTATTACCTAAATTAATTTGTGATTTTTAGAAAAAAAAAATCACATTTTATTTAATTACTCAATAAGTTCATATATTAATTAAATTATAAAATCAACATATTAAATTTTCTAAAAATGGCCTTTACAATGAGCCAGATTTATAAGATTCTCTGTTTTCCTGTAATTTGTGTAACAAATATTTCCATTATTATCAAATTTTTTGTCAGTTCTCAACAATGCATGACTAATAGATTTTTAATGTTGTATATACACAACAGGATTATACATTTGTCTTTTATTGCAAATCTTTGGATATAACTAATGTTACGTAATTTTATTTCATGATCCAGTTATCTATTTTATTCAATTACTACGCATAATAATTAGATTACCAAATATGTATATTAATAATAAAACTATAGGTTTTCCAATGAGCCAATTGATATATATGTTGCATTTTTTATTTACCTGTAATAAGCTCTCAGATTTGAGCAAATAATATTTTCAGTAATTTCTCAAAAATGAATAAAAAGCTTTTTAATTTGATATAATAATTCAAAAACTGTTGTATTGTGTATCTATTAATATAACTAGAGTTACGTAATGTTATTATAAGAATTATCGAAATTAGTAATTTTTTATTATTTGTTTTTTGTTTCACATTTTTTTTGTATTACTCGATAATCACACACAAACTAATTAGATCATCAAATATGCATACTACAAACAAAGTTATGACCTTTCCAATAAACCTATTGCAGGATTTGTTGAATTCTGTAATAAACTTACAAATTTGAGTTATAAATAATTTTCATTATTTCTAATTTTCTTTTATAAAGCGAAAAAAAAACTTGTTTAATAAATTTTAATATTACATAAGAAGGAGTCTTCTCTTGCGCATATTTTAATTGTTACATAATTTTAAGTAATTTTTATCCTATAGAATAGTTTCTCATTATTTACACGTCTTCAAGTTTTATTTAATCACTCAATAACTACGCATAATAATTAAATCATAAAATATGCAAATTAAAGATAAAACTATGGCATTAACGATATAGTTAATAGTTTTAGGTATTTTATAGACTATCCAGATATTTTGTAGAATACCGAATTATCTGCATTGGAACTAACAGAAGAAATTTTTTAACTCAAATAATACAGGAATTCCTCGTATAGTGCGGTTATTCGATTCTGCAAAAACTGCAATAAAATACTTGATTGTATTATAAACAATAAGATCATTTATGTACAATTTTTTTAGAATTTGTCAATTAAAATTTAGTTTTTTTTTTAATTTTCAATTCGGTCTATGCGATTTATTCTTGTATAAATATAAGGTATAGTAATACTCTTATGTACGTTATGTCGACTTAAATAATCTATACTAAATCATTAATGAATGATGTCTAAAATATTCAATTTTATCTAGTTAAAACTTGAAATTATCTCCAGAAATTAAAGATCAATAAAAGAAGTTATGTTTTTTTTTTTTTAAATTAATACGATTAAGATTATTGCAATAAAATAAAGGAATATTATAAATAATATTATATTACATAATACGAAATTCACTAATAAAAATGTTATAATTCTTACAAAAGTATAACATTTGCAATGAATACACACACACACAGTTTCAACACGCAATTTACTAATTGTGTGAACGTTTTAAAAATGATTTACGTTCAAATATTTTAGAAAATGTTCGTAATTTCAACTTTGTTCACTTGTAAAGATTATAATGAATATACAAAAGTACTTTAACCGTAAATTATTAATATTTCAATTTCAAGTAAGTAGTTTTGAGAAACCGAATGATTAATGTTTGCTTGAATACCATGCGGACCGTGAACTCAACTCAATTTCCAAAGTAAATGTCTTGAGCCTCATCCATGGTCGCAGGTCCAGATGTATGATGAAGCGTTATTTCATATTTTATTTCATTCCTTTTTTTAATACATTGCGAAATCAGCGGAAATAATAATTAAAAAATTCGCACAAACGACGTTCGTTTCGTCCTTCATTTTTTATTTATATTGTGATGTTTCTCAAACGCACACGCTGATTGAAATCAATAATAAATCAATGTAATTTTAAGTATGTAATAAATGTCGGGAAGAAAGTCGCAATTGACGTTCCAATTATATTTGTACAAAAAGGTGTGTTTTTTTTTTAAATAAAGTTATAACAAGAAGAAAATTCAATATTATACGTGCATAGTGCGCTTTCTCCAATATCCGTTACTGTTTGAAACCGGACTAATCGAGGATTTTAAAACCGCATAAAAAAGTACAAAATGAGATTGAAAACGATGAAATTTTAATACCAGACTATGGTGAATCCGGACTGATCGAAGCCACGGAAAGCGAGATATTTTCGAATTTCTATGAAAAGAAGTAAGATGTAATGAAGATGTTATTAACCTCAATATAATTTAGATAAAAATTGATAAAAAGTAAAAATATGAAAGAATTTTGTAGCTAATTACAATATTTCGTGCTAATTAATTAACTTGTCCTCTTATTGTTACAATGTAAATGAACAATCTTAACTTAATTTATGGTAAACTCAAATATCACAGCCATCTATAGAAACTGTTAATAATTTCTAATTAATCTATATTAATTCTATTATTAAATTATTTTTATTTAAATGTAATATAGTTTTTATAGCGAAAAAATACAACTTCGTAGTAGTTTTATTATACAAACAATTTAGTAAAGATGAATGTAAATGGAATCCAGTATTTTTTTTTCATGTTTTGTGTACATCCATTTACCACTCACTGTTTGTAGTAGCCGCTTAATGTATGTAAAATATTTCATCTTTTCGTTTTATTTCATCTTTATACTTAGAATTTCAATTGTATTGCGTTTTATACAAATTTTCTAGAATTTATTGTTTAAAGTTAACGCATAACATTTTGTTTTTTTTAAAGACGCAGTAATTATTATTTATGTATCAGTGCTAATTGGATTTATTTGATCATGAAAAAATTATTAAATATTCTTAAAATTTATAAGATAATTGACCAAAAAAAATCAGTTCATTTAATTCAAGTTTAATATTTTGACTAAACTACCAATTTTATAGCTAGGTTAGGTTTATTAAATATAACCTATTTAGGCCACTCTGTTTAATGAGATTTAAGCTATTCAATGGTAACCTAAAAATTAAGTTATTTTATTAAAATTTGCTATTTTCATCTAATTTGCTACTTTGTAAACGAACCTAACCTAACATGTCATAACCAATTGCAAGCAAACATAATATAATCTAATATAACCTAAACAAAACCAAAAATGTGTTTTTTATACAAATTTAGTATTTTTATCTAATTATTTATTTTGTAAACAAACCTAATATAATAAATATATTCTAACCGAGAGTTTCTCATGCTTTTTGTCCCACGACCTAAAATATATGTTTGTAGGTAAACAGCGACCAAATTACTAAGAGTATTTCACCAGTTACTACAAGTCATTAACAATATTGAATCTTGATCTGTAGATTGAAGAAACACTGTCAAATATAACCTATAAACCCTAATGTGAAATTTTGTAAAATTTATTTAGTTCATTCTATAATACGTTTTATTTCGTAAATATTTCAAAATTTATATTAAAAAAAATGTAATTATTCAATTAAATTTGTTTGTAAATTTTTGGATGTGAAAAATATAAAGACACAATGGACTTGACTAAGCCAAAAAAAAAGAGTATGGACGAGATATGTAACAATGTTTCCAAACTGTTGCCGAAACAATTGTGTGCTCCAATTGTTGCGAGTGTTTGCCAATGCGGAGCTAGGATGTAGCCGAAGAATAACAAAAACAACAAAAAACAAAAACCGAAGAGAATATTCAACAAAGATAATTAATGAATAATTCGTTCAAGTGTTTGAAGTAGGGGATAGTATGAGCGACATATGCACACACTACGTACGGCCTTGTCTCTTTCTACCTCCAGGTCTTAGGTTATTGTATGTCTCTCTCTCGTCTTTAAGTCTAAGTTTAGTTTACTCTGTCTCAAACACGAGACATCCCCTACTCAATCGTCGCTCGCGGAACACGCACGGTTCGGACTCGCGGCAAAGCAAACTCTCGGCTCAAACCAAATCCATCGATTCCAAAGGAAAGTTGCGAAAACCGTGAACTTGAACGAAGACGAAGCAGATTTATCTTCAAACAGCTACAAGTGGTTCGTCGGTCGAACGATGTGTTGAGTTAAATTTGCATCGGACAACAGTACAATTTTTTTTTGTTTTAAATTTTTGTTTTTAAAGTCTTTTTGAAGACGCTAATAACTATGGCGATGCGTTTTGTTTTTTTGATTTCGTGCGTTTTGTTGGTTGGTGTTACCGTAGAGCAGACACTGACTTTGTCCGTTAACGAATCTCGCCCGCTCTTCTCGTTTTACCCCATGAATATCCTCACCAACGGCACCGTGGTGGACAAAGTGAACAGCTTTGCTGATCTGGAGCAGGACCTCGAGCTCGGTAACCAGATGAAAGGGAAACTATGCGCTAAAAATTATACCAGTTGCATGCAGAATGGTAAGCAGCAAATCTTTATTTCAACATTTTTATTGCCTTTCTGCAAATCTTTAATAAATTATTATCAAACTGTATTGATTAAGTTTCCAACAAATCAAAAACTTACTAACGATTTTCAGAACCAAATATTAAGTTAAATTCATTTACAAAACCTAAATTTTAAATTTAAAAAAATTCTCAGTCTATTTTTTAATCAAAATATTATACAATTAATGTTTTATTTTTTTTATCATATCTTTGATATCATCAAAACAAATTCATTAATAATTAAAAAAAAATACTTTTTAAAATATTTTGATTCTTGACAAAACTTTAAATTACCATTTAGGACAAATATATATAGTATTACAAAAGTGTTTCTAAATTTAGTTGTAATATTCATTAAAATCGTAACATTGATATCAACTAAACTAATTATTTATCAATAAAATAATAGATAGATAATTTCTATATCTAATCACTTCTTTGTTTGTTATTTCATGAAATAAATTTTATTCTTTTGTTATGAAATATTTGTAAAAATTGTAAAATAAGAGAAATATCTAAAGTTCTTATTAATAATTAATAAATATATAGATTACAATTATTGTCGTTTTTAAATTTTTGTTTGAAATATTTGATTATTATTTCTTTTTTCATGATTTTATATGTATTTGTTATATACTTTTTTATTATTGACTTTAGTATTAGAAAATTTGATATTAAATCTATCAGTTTGTGATTTTTCCTTAAGATTTCTACCACAATATGAATTAGTTTACTTTCAGTAAATTTCGATTAAATTATTGAAATAAAATAAATATTGACTAAAAAATGTGTTTTGTTAATGAATTTTTAAGAAATCAAATAAGTAAGTAAATACAAAATATTTAAACTTTTATTGATATTATTCATCATTAAACATTTTGTAATAATAATATTATTTTATTAAGTACATTTGTATAAGATGTATTTTATTTTAAGAAATGTTTTTTTACAAATTTTATTCTTATCTTTTAAACAAATCTATTAATTTGACAAATAAATTGAAGAAATGTTATGAATAATTCAGGAATAGGAACTGAGTATATATGTTTTGTTATTAATGCGTTGTTTGCACTTTGAATACTGTACATTCTGCAAGTTAATGCAATTGTATATGCTATACTTGTAAATGCTAATCGTAAGAAGAAAAAAAAACGCAATATTCGTATTTGATTTTTAAAATTTTCATATTTACAGTTAATGTATACTTTATTAGAAATAAGTTAATATTAAATTTGTTAATTAATTTATATATATACCTCGAATAGTCTGGATTTTTATACACATTTTTTTATGTATTTATTTTCCCGATTAGTCCGGTTTTAAAAAGTCTAGGATATTGGTGAAACCCAATAGTCTTAGTTAACATTTAGTCTTCAGATTATTAATTTATTATAATTAAGAATATTTATATGTAAACAAAAAATGTGTCAATTTATTTATGTTTTCTAAATTTTTTTTTTATTTTTTTTATTTCATTCTTTTCTTACTTGTAATAAGTTATAAGTAAGTACTTAAATAATTAACTACTTTTTTTTATAAAGGAAAAAAACATTAGAATTTATTAAATGAAATTTAATTAAAGTGATTTTTCTAAACCAATATTAGTAAAAATTATTTCAAATTAAAAATACATACGAAACAAAAGTTATTTTTAGTAGTATTAATTGTGAACTTGAAATATTACAATGAAAATGCCTCATTTTAATCAAATTTTCTACTTTATTTTAATAAATTTTCTTTAAATATAATAATTATAAAGAAACTAGACTTTTATAAGTAATAACTATGAAAATAAAATAATCGTAATAAAATTATTTCTTTAAAGCAAACATAAAATCAATTAGAAACAAAGAATGTCCAAACGCAATCAAAATTTTTAAAGTTCAATTTATGAAATACATCGAGAGAGGTGTTTGAAATTTAAGAAAGAAAAAAATGCTTTCTCGTGGTTTTAAAAATTTTACCTTGGACCACATAGAGCTGCATCTCGCCGTATGCTTTATGTGTGTAAATAAGTTTTTTTTTCCTTCTCTCCGCATGTTTTTTTTTTCTGGTATTTATTATTTAAAGACGTCTTTCGTCGATTTAAAAAAAATACACTTTCGCAATTCGTCTTTGACTAAGCAGATTCAATGGGAGACAATGGCAATGGACGTAATTGATTGAAATGCACAAACTGCGTTAATAATTATAAGTCGGTTTGCAATATCACGACCAATAATAATAAATTATGTGTGTATTTATGAAGGCAGAATGCGAGCGGGTTCCGTTCGTAACGCGGCATTGAAATCGAACGGCTGCTGTCTCCTTACGCAACGGAACGGTTCGATATTTTCAACGAGAATCGAATAAAAGTTTTAAAATGAAAAAAATATATATATTGGGTTAGTAAGAAAGTAATTTCGGTTTTCACAAATAGATAGCGTTATGTTTGTTTTCGAGGATTTCTGTCAATATTACGGTTTTTTCCTTCTGTCATTTTAAAGATGTTACTTTTAGCTTCCAATTGCACGTAATTTTGTTTTGCAACTGTTAGTTTAGGATCAATTTTTACAGGAGTGCAAAAACGAACATTTTCGACATATTTTACTTAATGTAAAGACAAGAAATCTGACGAGAAATTTATTATGTTGATAGTTTAACACAGGGTTTAAACAAAATGTAATACGACGGGTGAAATCGCGTACGAAAATATTAAATTACGTTCCAACGTGGGAAGATTCTGGGCCACACTTCCTTTTCTCGATAGGAAAAACTCCAAATACTGCTTCCTCATATCAGCAAACTTCTCTTCTACCGGGCTTCTTAAGCGTCTTCTTTCACGGTTCTGGACCCGTACAAATATATCGATATATATCTTCTTTACTGGAGACGTCAACCATCACACTTCGATTCGATCCGGTCTCTCTGCAATTCTGGAGTCAACTTACAACGTTACAAAACTTTTCCTGCAACGGAACATTTTGTAAATCCTGAAATTTTTACGTAAAACATTGTTTATTTTGTTGATAATAACACATAATCCACAAAGTTTTAAGAAATGTGAAAAAAATACATTCATTATTTAGTAATTCCAGTTTTTAATTGAACATAGTTTGGGACACCCTGGTTTAACAGAATGCAGGTGTCAAAGATAACTAACGTTCTTGTCGACCAAACTGAAGTTTATGATGACTAAATCACAGTCATAATTGAATCAGATTGTTATATAACTGTGCAAGAGGAGGTTAAAGGTATCACACACTAAAACTGGAAATCATTTAATTCACTTAAACTTAATCTCGATATTCACATGAATTGAAAAAGAGTCACTTAACACAACGAATCAATCTTATCAATATTTGCAAAATCCATTACAATAGCAATGAAATCGTCACTTTTTTTTAAACAAAGTCATTGGTTATGAAAAATGGATCGTCTGCAATAATATCAATCAAAAACGATCCAGATGATCCAGCACAAACCACATCAAAAGCTGAATTCCATAAAAAAAAACATGCTTTCAAATTGATGGGATTACAAAGATGATGTCTATTTTGAGCTGCACCCAAGGAACTAAACGATCAATTAAGATGTTTACTGTCAACAACTAATGAAACTGGAGTAAGCAATCAAAGAAAAATGACAAAAATTGACAAATCTTATGCCACCAAAACAATGCAAATCCTCACACATCTTTGAAAAATTATTGAAGCTTTGTTTCGAAGTGACCTTTGAACTCTTCTATGAGAAATTATGAAGTTGCCAGAAAGATGGTAAAAGGTCATCCAAAAAAGAGTTTTATTTCACATAAAAAAAACTAAATTCCTTTCCTGCCAACCCAATACATAATACAGTATAAAGAATAGGCAAATGTGAATTATTCGAATAGATAATAATAGAAATAATTAGTAAAATAAAAGAAACAAATTGTATTTAATGTATGGAACAGGTGTCTGCATATTAGTCGAATAGATTTAGTGGAATTAGATGGGGAAAAAATTGTTTATAATAATAGAAACAAGTAATTTTGCATAAATGTAGCCGGAAAATAAAGCAATCAAACGATATTTTATATAATAGAATTAGTATTTGCATATTATTCGAATAGATTTGAAGGATGCAAACGGGGAAAACATTACATAATAAAAATAAGTAATATCGAATTTCAAGAGTAGGTGTATGCACGTTATGTAGAGGTAATTAATAAAAGCGGATGGAAAAACAAGTTTAAAATAAAAGAATCAAATGATAATTTATGAAGAGAATTGGTATCTACATATTATTCGAATAGATTCAGTGGAAAAAGACGTGAAAACAAAAACTGTACAATAAAAGAAACAAGTAGTATTTAATTTAGAAAGTTTTCATATTTTCGTTGAAAAACACTAACATTTTGCAATTTACATATGCATGTTTTTAGTTGTTGTTATTTTGATGCAAAAATATTTAATAATAATAATAATATACAAGATTTATTATATAACTAAATATTTAATCATTTTTATGGATTTCGTTTCTTAAATTTAGCACAATTATTTTTTTTATAAACAAACTTCGCAATGTAATATCAAGTATGTCACAACTGTTTGAGCTACAAATACATAAATTGTTACAATTTTATGTTATTTTTTATAAAACTTATTTGCAGGTATCGTATAGTGCGGGTAATCGGACTGTTTGAATCCGGACTAATCGAGGTACTAATATAACAAATAAATTGCACAAAAAGAGACTTGATTGTATAATCCAATATTTTTTTTTGTATATAAGAAAACATAATTTTGTGTAGTAATTTGTTAGAATTTATTTCTTTAATCTAAATTTTATTTGTTTCAAACCGGATTAAAAGAAACCGCACTATGCGAGGTATTGTTTGATTAGAATTTCTATAGATTTGTGAATTTCATCCACATAAAATCAGAACTTAAATATAAGTGTGTCTTCATCGCTTTTACCACGACCTTGTTCAGTTAATACAAACGATTTCAAAA